AGGCAAACTGGAAAACCTGTCGCTTGAACCATTTTAAACAGACTGAGAAATGAGACAAGGGCATATAAAAACTTCGGGCCTTTTTTGGCCTTTAGACTGCCCTAGGAATGGTATGAGTTTATGGATTTTATGTAGCAGTGCACTCCTTTGTGAGAAAACTTAAATCAGTCATTCTTGATGTTTATGTTGAAGCCAAGGTACTGAGTAAAATTTCAATGTGGTGTCTTTTTTTTTTTTTTTTTTTTTCCCTGGTAAACACATGATCTGTTGTGTTGACTCATAAAATGGCTTTTATGATTTAAAAAAATGAACATGACCCAAATGCCTTTTTACTGAGGTTGCACAGGATGTGATTTCACATCACATACATGCCTTACCTGGAGAGCTGTGGTGTGGACTTCTTTTTTTCAGCTATTAAATTAATCTGTAGGTATAATCAGGACATCTGTGGACTGTTCCCAGATTCTCTCCACTTTTGTCTGTGCTTGTGATATGACTTGCAGAAGAAACTAACTTTATTTATAGGAGACGTAATTGTTACATGTACATCTTTGTCAGGATTTATTATTATTGTAAGTCACTGTGGTTTCAGTCGTGAAAACTGTGAAGCTGTAGCTTTTTCGGAGTGATAATGGACTGATAGTAGAGTTTATAACTTTGGATACATTTGTATGCATTGCAGTTTGAGATACAAGATAGTTCCCTCTCTTAGGAACCTGCTCCTGTTATCTTCTTTCTCACCAGCAGAGGTCTAGCTAACATACCAATTTCAAAACTGGAACAGGGCAACTCTCTTGTGCTGATGGCATGTCAACAGCATGTTTTAATGACTGGTTACATCTGTGAGTTCCTCTAGATGTTATTTTCCCTGCCATACCTGACTAGTGGGACACATGTGATTGTATTAGAAACTGGAAGTTCAGAAACATTTGGAGAATCAGTAATGAATGGTGATGAGCCATCAGCAGACAGCTGTATCAGGATCACAAAAACGAAGAGCTCGGTGTGTTGTGTTGAGCCTGTTCCATTGGGGCATGTAAGAAACTCATTGAAGACAGTATGATTTTTCATATCCCTATAACTAAGCATGCTGAACTGCATCAGTGTCGACCTCTGGTGAATCAATACATAGTCTCAAATTCTCAGACATAATTAGCAGCCAAGTATCTCAGTTTTTATGCACAACACACCTTAAGAAAAATGGCAGTTAGCCTCTGTAGCAATGCCAGTGAGGAATGGGCTGTGCTGAATAGGAGGATGTTACTACATTCTGTTAAACATTACATTTAATGTATGTTTGAGAAATGAACGTCACAACAGAATAAAAGCTGATGCTGTAGATCAAAAAAAAAAAAATTAGCTATTGTGCAAGATCATAAAGCTTACTGTAAAACATAGTTGTTTGCCACAAAGTGTTTTGAGGACAAAAACGGAAAAGCCTTTCTACTACATTTCACCTTTATCTTCTAGGTGCTGTTGTTAAATCAACCTAGAAAATAACAGGAAGCAATTAAATAATGCTAAAATAACATCTGAGGTGATTACCCAGCAGACATCCTCTTGCCCTTTAATCAGCTCTATGCACTTGGAGGAGCAGTTTAAGAAAGGTGTGGGTTATCAGCAGATAGATCGACACTTTTGTCATGTGGAAGCTTGATTTATTGTGCAGGATTTAGAATCTATAGAGGTCTTTTATATAGATTGCAGGTTTGCTGATGTTTCATTTAACTTAAATACAGCTGTCTAAACATGGAACTGAACTTGTAAGCTGGCTTTTATGATGGTCTTTGGAGAAACAATTTCATTCCAGAGCAACTTGGTACCATGAATGGAACTACTTTTAAATTTAAAACAAAGCTAAAATTAAAATACCATTTCATTTGAGCTCCAATAGCAATAGCTAATACCAAAGCTATTTATAGTTTGTTTGGTGTATTGTGTAATGCGCATTGTGTGTGTAGCTGTGATCTCACTGCCTAGCTCTACTGTTTGGCAAATAATTGTAAACTAAAGAAGATATTTTAGTTTTTTTCCTATTGCAAGCTCTTATTTCACTCTAGTTCCGCTGCCCTTCATCCCACTGGGTATTTGTGTAAGGAGGAAAGCGGAAGCACAGAAATTCACTTGTGAAGCTCATTAGCAACATGCACAGCACAGTGCCAGCTGTCACCCTTACTAGCACTCTGTCTAGGCTGAACTCTCACACTGTCACCTCAGCATCTTTATCCACTGCAAGGAAATATATTCATTTTGTCTCTGTAGGCAGATGTAGATGTTTCCCCAGGGATACTGTAACAGTAAGAAAGCTTTCTATGATTTTTACAGTAGCTTATACCAATATAACAGAAATGTACATGCACAATACTAGTTTTGATTTTCAGAGTATTTTTTATTACTGTTTCAGTTGTATGATTTCAACATTAAGGAACAATACATAATGTACAGTACATAGCTTGCGTTGTTCGCAGGTTTTAAAGTCATGTGTCAAGGTTCAGGCTGCAGAATAGCATTCACCATTCCTAAAACAAAAGCAGGCACATACAATACTAGCTTGCTGCAGTATTAGCGCAATCTTGTTTGGCAAATATAACATTAGGAGCACCACCTGCCACTAAGATACTGCAGGTACCAACGGATTACTGACATGAATCCTTAATGTTCTACCCTTCTGCCCCTATAGCATTTGTTCACATCAAAGTGACATCACTAGAAAAACATGTTGTTAAGCAGTTCACTCCTTGGTTTTAAAAATTAGTGAAAGGGTACAGCTAGAGAAACACCTCACAAAATGACACTACAAATCTGATACACATTTTGCATAGTTAAATTTATGTCAGGCTAAACTTGGGTCTCTGCAATTTTTTTCTTCCAGCCTTTGAACTTTGAGCTGAACAGTTATTCAGAACACACTCTCATTCGGTGTTCAGAACACTCGGTCACTCCAGATACCTTTCCATTTCTTTGGTTACTTTCTTTTCCTTAACATCTCTCAACCTTTTTTTATTCCTCCTACAGCAACCCACTGTTCCAGACATTCACTCCTTCCCCTTTAGCTACTCCTATTTATTTTCTTCAGCTTTTTCCTCCTCTTTAGTCACTTCCACTCTCTTCTGTTACTCTTCTCAACATCTCTGGGCTCTTTCTCATCTTCAACCATTCTGATTTTCTCTTGATAAAGAGAAAAGGCCACAGTCGTCTTGTTTCATCCAGTTGCTATTTGCAATACTACTTCTAAATCCTTTAAAAGCATTCACACTTCTAAGGGCCTCATTCTTTCCATATTTACACTTAGATGTAACCCAAATAATTCCAATGGTTTTACATGCAAAGTGACAGATGAAAATCCAACCCACTGCCGTGAATCACAGCTGGAAAGGAAAGAGAGCTAACAGAAGGAAACAGAATGAAAAATTAAAATCTCAATGTAATAGTGCACATTCCCTCTCTTGAACTTGCGCTTTTTTCTCCCTCTTGGTATGGAGCTAAACATAGTGTGTCAACTTACTGTCACACTTTTCCATTACAATAATATTAAACAAGTTTGATCACATTTGCTTCTTTAATCTGTTGATACGGGTTGTTCT